TGGTGATTAGTGGGGACTCTTCTTTGCATTCTAACCTAACCTAGCAAAAAAGGATTTCAACCGAAAAAAAAAAACGAAGAAACAAAGGAATGCATTGCTTAGGTTGGACTTTGACGAATAGATGCTGCATGCGTCACTTTTCTTTCCCAATATTTTCTTTAATGATCAAGCAAATTAAATAGTCTCAGAAGTATTCACAATGATTTTGAAAATTTTGGATGATGAAAAAAATATTTATAGCTCTTCTTTTTGCATGCATGTCCCTCAATGATTTTGGAAATTTTGGATGAATTTGTTAATTCTGAATAAAATTTTGGAAATTTTGGATTCATTTCACTAGCAAGTTTGAGATTTCCACAGTGAACTAAAAGACTTGCCCTCCTACTTCTTTACGCTTCATAGAATCTGGACTGCAACGTCTTTGGGTGACTTGTTGTCCTGTAATTGAGGCTTTGGTATCGTATTCTTTTATTTTATCTTCCCCTCATGTTGCCTTTCTATATGAAGAGATATTTTTGTTTTAGTTAATTGAAATTCATATACTCCGTCTATAAACAATATATCCCAATTCCCTTGTATTCACCTCCTCAACAGAACCATGGCTGATCTTGCCTTTCCTTTGGCAACCAAACTCATTGAAAAGCTCGGGTCTATTGCTTCTGAGCAGATCTGCTTGGCATGGGGCGTTAAAGCTGATCTGAACAAGATTCAGCGCACAATGTCCACCATAAAAGATGTCCTCTTGGATGCCGAACAGAAGCAAGCTCATAACCAGCAGATACGCAGTTGGCTACGACAGCTTAAAGACGTATTTCTTGATGCTGAGGACTTGTTGGATGAGTTTGAGTGCGAAGCTTTGCGGAGGGAAGTGGTGGAAACATTTCATGGCACAATTGGAAAGGTACGCCGTTTCTTCTCTCGTTCTAATCCAATCGCATTCCGTTTCAGATTAGGCAATGAAATCAAGGAGATTAGAGAGAGATTAGATGAGCTCAAGTCCAATAAGGCTATATTTGATTCTCTCACCATTCTTCCTCATGGATATGGAGGTGATAATCATGAAAGGCCCTTCGTTCCTGCTTCAAAGGTTATTGGTAGAGAGTCTGAGAAGGAAGAAATTGTAAATCTGTTGATGCAACAAGGTGATAATGATCAAAGTGGGAATTCTAATAATAAAGTCTCTGTCATTCCGATAGTGGGGATTGGAGGTTTAGGGAAGACCACACTTGCCAAGTGGGTGTACGATGATAAAAGGGTCGTTGGGCATTTCGAATTGAGGATGTGGGCATCAGTTCCGGTGGACTTTGAACTTACTAGATGCACAAGACTGATTCTTGGTTCTGCATTAGATACAGAGATCAGTGATAAATTGACTCTGGATCAGTTGCAAGGCAGGCTACGTGAAGCTTTGAAGGATAAGAAATTTCTGCTTGTCTTGGATGATGTTTGGAAAGATGATGCTTTGAAGTGGAGTCAGTTGAGAGATCTATTGACAAAGGGAGCCAAGTCAGGGAGTAAGATTTTAGTGACGACAAGAAGTACCGCAGTTGCTAAGATCATGGGTACGATTCCAGCAAACATTAATTTAGAATTTCTTTCTTTTGAGGAGTGCTTGTCATTGTTTGTAGAATGTGCTTTTAAAGATGGACATGAGAAAGAATATCCTAACCTCTTTAAAATGGGAAAAGATATTGTCGGAAAGTGCGGAGGGGTTCCATTGGCAGTGAAAACTTTAGGGAGTCAACTATACTCAAAGACTGATGAACGGGAATGGAAATTGGTGAGAGATTCTGAGATATGGGAATTGAAACAAGAAGATGATGGTCAAATTTTACCTGCTTTGAGATTGAGTTATACCCGATTGCCTCCTCATTTGAGACAATGTCTTGCTTACTGTTCCCATCTCCAAAAGGATATGATTGAATTTAATAGTTTTCAATTGATCAGATATTGGATGGCACATGGAATCCTTGATCAGTCTCATGTTCATGGGAATATGGAGTTGGAAGACATCGGAGAGCTATATTTTAAAGATTTATGGGCGAGATCCTTCTTTCAAAACATTGTTGATGGTGGCATTAACTATAAATTTGATATGCATGATCTTATCCATGATCTTGTACAATCAGTTGCACAAGGTGAGTGTTTTACAGTGAAGTCTGCAAACACCAAGGGCATATCTGAAAATGTTAGACATTTGACAGTTCTGGAAGCTGGCCAAAATGTTTCAACAACCTTGCAAAAGTTGAACAAAGTGCGGACTGTAGCAGCAGACATAATAGACATTGATGAATCCTTCCTTCACACTTGCTTTTCAAGATTCAAGTATCTTCGAGTGGTTGAGTTGCCTAGATGTTCATTACAAGTGTTGCCAAGTTCCATCGGTTCCCTGAAACATTTGAGATATCTGAACTTGGGTTATAATGAAGCAATAACGAAACTCCCCAATGCAATTTGCAGACTGCAGAGCTTGCAAACTCTAAATCTTGATGAATGTGAGAATCTTGATGAGTTGCCCAGAGATATAAGCAAATTGATCAGGCTCACATCACTTTGCTTAACGACAAAACAAACAAGTTTTACAGAGAATGGGGTGGGATGCTTAAAATTACTTCGATATCTTAGTATTGTCAATAGTAATTTAACCTCTTTGCCGCGTGAAACGAGCTATCTTGCTTCCTTACGGACTCTGATACTACACAACTGTGAACAATTGGATTTGGGGAACGTAAACTATCAAGGAACTCCACTGAGGCTTCAAAAATTGTGGATTGTACAACTACCAAGGATGGTGGCATTGCCTGAATGGTTTCAAGGAGCGGCTAACACCCTTCAATTCTTGGCTATTTACGAGTGTGAGAATTTGGAGGCATTACCTGAGTGGTTGGCAAGTTTCACATCACTCAAAAAGTTGGTCCTTGATTCATGTTCGGAATTGTCATCCCTGCCAGAGGGAATGCGTTCTCTTACCTCCTTAAGAGAACTTGTGATTGATAATTGTCCTGAATTGGAGAGGAGATGCCAACGCGACATTGGAGAAGATTGGCCCAAGATTTCTCATGTGCCACATGTTTTCTTTTCCCTCGTTTGATTTCTTGATATATAATATATGCAAACTAGGTGGCTGCCCTCGTATGTTTGTTCTATACTAATATTATTCCTAGTTTCTTTCTTCAGCTGTCCCAGTATTTCTTTCTTTCCCGCCTTAGAGTAAATAAGGACAAGAGAATTTTGTTCAAGGGATCCCAAATCACCCACTTGGATGCCAAGCTATACATCCAATGTTGTCCAATTACTCACTTATACATCCATAGGTTTGTTATCTTAATTTACTCAATTCACTACACATAGTTTCCTATATTTTTGTTTTGTTTTAAGTTTTATTATTGTTTTTAATTGTTTGATTAATTTACAGGAAAACATTCAACTAAGACCTGAAAGACCAGTTTATCAACTAAGTTTTTCACATCCATCAACATCTTAGTCCAAGTTTTTGCAATGTAGAAAAAATAGTAAGAACGACATGAATTGTTCTTTTTCGTCTATCTAATGCTAGGACATAATACATGACATAACTACCTCTCTATAATTTTCTTTGGAGTATTTTATTTTAAGAAAACCTTTCGGATTTATATAAAATTATCATAATTTGCCATTGAAACTATGTTTTATGGTGTTATTCAAATTTGTTATGGCCAAATTATAATATTGTACTAAATAATGTAGAGCAATCGCCAAAATATAAAAAATAATCAAGCAATACAGAGTACCAAATGTAACAGCCTCAGCTTCCAATATAAGCCACACAGCCCAACCTCACATACGAGGGATTAAAGGAATGCATAAAGCCGCCAAAGGTTTTTCACAACATGAATGATACATAGTTGCTATGGAGAGCTTCCATGACTCCTAGGATTCCTGACTATCCATTCCATCGAGTTCCCAAGGTTGCTTTCATGTTCATGACAAGGGGACCTGTGAATTGATATTCATATTAAAGCACGCCAATTGCCAATTATTTATTTGGGTAGTTGTTAATTAATTTAGAAAAGTGGAAAGTTTGCTAGGTTAATAAGAGTAAATCAGGAAAATTTTTATTGAAGTATTGTTTCTCTCTCATAACAATGTTATCAAATAAATAAAAAATAAAAAATTAACCATAGTTAAACCCATGGACATGTGTCAACTTTTAGGAGGGATGGTGAGGATACACCTAGAGTTAAGGTGGTGAGCAAAAATGCACCCTTATATCATATAATATGTTTTTTTTTATAAGATCATAGAATATGTTAGCTCAGCCTAGTCCTATACAGACATGATATGTCCCTTCTTGTCTTGAAGAGACGCCACACTCTTGACCCATTACTGTGGGGGTCCCATACACCACATCAAATTATTCATGTTGCCCCTCCTTTGTTTTTATTGTTTATGGAGGAGGTTTGAATTTGGACAGGAGGAGGTTTGAATTTGATGGCCAGGAGGCTGAAAAAGTTTACAAATTCAATAATTTGCATTGTTTCAAATTCCAGAGCTGCAAAAAGTGACGCTACAGATATATTAATCATTTAAGCTACAAACTTCTTGTATAATTATTAGGCTAAATTATTGAAATACCCCCTGTAACTCAATTTCAGTCTCAGTTTCCCCCCTGAAACTCTAAGTGTCTCACTTTCCCCCCTGAAACTCCATATATTGTCTCACTTTGCCTAGATTCCATCTAGCCCTAACAGAAGTTGCCCATGTGCAGTTTTTCTGGGTTTTTTTGTCCCTGGCAAAACGGAGCCACAATCGCTCTGTTCTATGTGGCACCTCAAGAACCGCACTGATTCCGTTAACCGAAAACCAGCCATTGTGATACACTTCTGGAAAAATGACTGACACACCATTTGATACTCTGTATTGCTTGATTATTTTTTATATTTTGGTGATTGCTCTACACTGGATGGCACATGGAAAAGGATATGATTAAATTTAGTAGTTTAAATTTGATCAGACATTGGATGGCACATGGAATCCTTGATCAGTCTCGTGTTCATGGGAATATGGAGTTGGAAGACATCGGAGAGTTGTATTTTAAAGATTTATGGGCGAGATCCTTTTTTCAAAACGTTATTGATTATGGTACGTACTACGTATTTGATATGCATGATCTTATCCATGATCTTGTACAATCTGTTGCACAAGGTGAGTGTTTTACAGTGAAGTATACGAACACCAAAGACATATCTGAAAATGTTAGACATTTGGCATTTTTGGAAGCTGGCCAAAATGTTTCAACAACCTTGCAAAAGTTGAACAAAGTGCGGACTGTAGCAGCAAACAAAATAGACATTGATGAATCCTTCCTTCACACTAGCTTTTCAAGATTCAAGTATTTGCGAGTGGTTGAGTTACCTAGATGTTCATTACAAGTATTGCCAATTTCCTTTGGTTCTCTGAAACATTTGAGATTACTGGACTTGAGTTATAATAAAGCAATAACGAAACTCCCCACTGTAATTTGCAGATTGCAGAGCTTGCAAACTCTCAATTTTTCTAGATGTGAGAATCTTGAAGAGTTACCGAGCGATATAAGCAAATTGTTGAGCCTCACATCACTTTGGTTAACAGCAAAACAAACAAGTTTTACAAAGAATGGGGTGGGATGCTTAAAATCACTTCGACTTCTTGGTATTTCCATATGTAGTAATTTAACCTCTTTGCCGCGTGAAACGGGCTATCTTGCTACATTACGAACTCTTTTCATAGGAGGTTGCAAACAACTGGATTTGGGGAACGTAAACTATCATGGAACTCCACTAAGGCTCCAAAAATTGTATATTAAAGATTTACCATGGATGGTGGCATTGCCTGAATGGTTTCAAGGGGCAGCTAACACCCTTCAAATCCTGATTATTGAGAGCTGTGAGAATTTGGAGGCATTACCTGGGTGGTTGGCAAGTTTCACATCACTCACAAAATTGTTTCTTTATTCATGTTCGAAATTGTCGTCTCTGCCAAAGGGGATGCGTTCTCTTACCTCCTTAAGAGAACTTAGGATTATAAATTGTCCTAAATTGGAGAGAAGATGCCAGCGCAACATCGGAGAAGATTGGCCCGAGATTTCTCATGTGCCACACGTTTTCTTTCACTTTGTCAATTGATTTCTCCATATATAATAGATGCGAACAAGATGGGTCCTGATCTCGTATGTTTGTTCTATACTAATATAATTCCAGATAGTATTTCTTTCTTTCCTATTGTTTGTTTGTTTTCTTGTGTGTGGGTTGTGTTTTATTTAGTTTGGATTGTGTCATGCTTGATCAATTTGATTTTATTTAAGTTGAAGATTGTATATAATAGTCGTTCACATGAGGGGTGTGGTTTGCACAACGACTTTGTTTACTTCCTAAACCCTAAACCCTAAACCCTAAATTCATTTTTTCTTTTGATGAATTGAATCCATTTTTTCATTATAACCAAGTTCTCAGTTAAATTTTACTCTCATCGTTAATTTAAGGAAAACTTATTTCAATGAATTCTTAAAAATAAAAAATAAAAAATAAAAACTTGCTAATTTCAAATAACGAAGTCTGCAAACTTCTTAGTTTCTTACAACCAGCACCTACTAGCATAACTTCAAGCCATGGATTATGGAAGGCAACATGTCAAGATGTAAGAATCTTGAAATCACTTTATATCTTGTTTGAAGATCTTACCTCTTTGCTGCGTGATGTGAAATGAGTTATAAAAGGCCATTCTCCTTTTTGGTTGGAGAGTTGCCATTAAACTCACCCCAAAAAAAGAAAATGCAAGAAAAAAGTACATCTATCCTCACTTATCATTGATAAGTAATATGTGTGTCCTGTTTCTCAACATAATTACAGGATTACTTGTTAGAGGGCGCAAAAAACCTTTCCTCCAACCATCTTTCAATTATAATTTTTTTAAAATTTTTTATCCAACATCAGACATATCTATTGGGGATTGAAGTTAGGTAGTTTTACTCATGTGACGAGTTAGTTGATCACTTCAATTCAAGAAAGTCCGTTGCCTGCCGACCCGATAAGGCAGTCTATGTAAGTTCAATGATCTTATCGTGCATACAATATGCCAAATAGGGGTGAGTACGGTTCGATTTGGAACGGTTTTTGTATCAAATTAGAATCGATCTTGTACTATTCATCCGGTTTGATTCAGTTTGATTTTAATTTAAAAAAATTCAAAAACTTATGGTTGAACCGATTTCGGTCTGGTTCAGTTTTGAACCGAATTATTAAAATTAAAATCATTTAATTATTTTTTCAACTGAAATTTTATTTTTTTGACATGAAAATTAATAAATTATTCAATTTCACATAAAAATAAATATTAAAGCTAGAAGAGAGAGATGTTTTGAAATTGAACATGAATAAATATTAGTTATGAGATTAAAAATATAGCATTAAATATAAATAAATATTGAAATAATATATATTTTAATTCGACAGGTTCGATTCGGCCCGGTCCAATTTCTGAAGACAGGACGATAAATTATAAAGAAAAATAAAAATAGACAAAACAATTCGTCTTCTGACAGGACCCGACCCAAATTCTACTTTGGAATCTGAGTCAAACCCTGTGCGTGTCCGACACCTGGCTAATGCTGGGCACAAAAAACTAAATTGCCATTTTAACTTAAATCAAAAGAAATTTAAGTGTGACTTCTACCAGAAATTCGGCAGAATCTCCCCTATAAATTGAACCTTTCCCAAAATTTCCACCTGTCATCAAACATTTATATAACTCAATCATTCAGCATGCATTCAATTATATCCAACCAAATTGAGCATCATAACATTCTGGTATCAGGTCGCAATAAATCAAATAAATCAATCTGCAAATAAAATTCATCTCAACTTTCAGAACAACAATAATGCATTGGTAATCTCAAACATTCTAACTCGTGGCTGCACCTTGTAACTATAGGCTGCCTACGTACCCTTACTGAGGGATCAAGCCACACGTAGTTCTTTCTTTGCAAAACCACCTTAGTTCTCATTTCCTGTTCCAAGCTTTCTGGCATTACTCACATGGCAATGTATAATCAACTGAATAAATAAAAGCATTTATATCAGGTAATCATGCTTGGAAAGTCATAATCATTAATTCCTCGTGACACCAATGGTGACAAGTCCTGATTTGTAATCCTGGCTGAACTCAGGAGATATATGATCAACCTGGTCCGCAATCCTCACCCACACAGTTCGGATATCTCTAAGACTCATGGGGCAAAATATACTAGAAAACTTAAGCTATTTAGTACTGTATAAAATAATGCAAAATAAAGATAAATAAACATAATAAAATAAAATAAGTTAAAGATTTATAAGCTTCGAACACCCTAGTATCAAACTCAGGTAAAGTTCATAAATAAATAACTGTATTTATATATATAAATAACTTGATTAGAATCTATATGTATTTCCATCTATCACCTGTAAAACAATTGTCACTTAATAAAATAATGGCAACTATATAGAATCCTCAATGTAATTTAAAAGCATTTATAACTCAAATTCAATCCACCTAGGCGTACCCCCATTTCTGATCCGTCAATTCCATATATGCCGTCAATTTCATATATCCGTCAATTCCTGATATTCGTCAATTCCCCTGGCAGGTCTCGGCGACACAAGGTCAATTCGAGCCGCAAACTGGCAGGATTCAGGGGACTGTAGTCAACCTTATCCGCAATCCTGGCAGATCTCGGAGACACCAAGTCCATCCAAGCCGCAATCCTGGCATGTCTCGGAGACACCAAGTCCATCCGAGCCGCAATCCTGGCACCACACGGTTCAGACGTCCCCAAAACTCGTGGAGCAATATCATAAATAACAAACTGTCTCAAGGCAACTGGGGGGTACCCTCGAGGTGGGTTTGAAAAACATAACCCGTCATTTATATAAACTTTCAATAAATTGGTTCTCAACTAAACTTAAAATAGATATACCAAAATCTGATGAAAACCAAAAGCGATAATTCTTTCTTTTCAATCACTGAATATATACGCAGGTGATGAATAAACAAATAATTAAATACTCATACTCTTCACATCTGAACATAATAATATCCTTAACAAGTAATTTCGATTACATAGCAACTCAAGAACATTAAATCATCCAATAATACTTAGCCAGATATAATGATATTAATCAATACAATAAATAATTTTCACATCACTCACAAAGTTGATCATTGTTTCATGTCAAAAATTGTCGTCTCTGCTAGAGGGGATGCATTCTCTTACCTCCTTAAGAGAACTTGTGATTGATGATTGTCCTGAATTGGAGAGGAGATGCCAGCGCAACATTGGAGAAGATTGGCCCAAGATTTCTCATGTGCCACATGTTTACTTTTCCTACCATTGATTTCTCGATATATAATATATGCGAACAAGGTGGATCCTCTCGTGTGTTTGTTCTATA